TTTTCCAACTTTAGTAGAGTATTTTTTTCTCACAACCTCTCTTTCTAAAAAAATTCTTTGTGAAACGTCTGAGCTCTGTGAGTGCAATTTAAATATCTCCAATACTCATTAATTTGCAGTTGGGAAATTAGGCCAGATCTGTATTCCTAATAATGTAAAATTTTGCCTTCAGGAAAATCAAAAGAATTTTAATGAAATTTCTTTACGTAAATAAAACAGTAATGCCGTTCTTTTTTCCTGTGCTATTTTCATTGTGCTTGCTAATGAGTGGGAATATTGAGCATGGTTTTATATAATATGCAAATTAGTATTTAGTGGTTCATAATCAGTAATGTGAACTTGAGAACTCTGCAATGAGCCCAGAGAGGACAGCTTTCTCTGCACTACAAAAATAACTATGTTTAAACATATTTACAATGCCTGGCTGTGATGTCCCAGCTCTGTTATAGAGTGCCTTTTCTTGTCTGTGTGGACAGAAATCATGTTCTAAATGTCTGAGGGAACCAGGTTTTAACTCCAAGCTAAAATACGATTCCATAATTTTATTATAACATTTTTTTGGTTCACACAGGGAAGAAAAAAAAAGTTGGAGCAAAACCCTATTTACTCCTAAGATTCAAATGGAAAGGTAGAATGGTTTTGGGATTAAGACACTGGACTGGGACTCAGGAGATTTTGGTTCTGGCTCTGCAATGGTTTCCTGTATGGTCTAGGACAAGTCACTTAACATTTCTTGGCTCAGTTTCCCTTCCTTGTACCCTCTCTTGTCTATTTTGATGGTAAACTCTTCAGGGCAGGGACTTTCACTTACTGTATGTATGATGCCCAGCACAATGGTGCTTTTATCTCAGTTGGGGTCTCTAGAGTTAGTAATAAAATAATTATTAATAATAATGGTACAGGAAGAAAACACCTATATTAGGTCCCAGTCCTGGTATTTATTCAGCATCTTGCAGAAATGGGCCCTTAATTTGTACTTTATAGTAGTACCTACTTATAATATCAATATGGTGTATCCCAGAGCTGAAGTAGTCACATCTGCTAATATAAGTCACCTAAACAAAGTCTATGGTAAGAAGAAAGTGCTACGTAAGAGTAACAGCATGGGACTTAGAGTCAAGAGATCTGAGTTCCATTCCTGACTCTTCTACAATGGTGTGACTGTAGACATGTTACATGTTACTTCTCTGTGCCTCAGTTTTCCTATCTGTAAAATGAAGACAATAATGTCTACCTCAAAGCAGTGTCGCAAATCTGATTCAGTGAATGTTTGCATTCTTCTCAAGACGGGTCCTTAGAAATCCTTAAAAATGCTAAGAGTTATTTTACTCTTCCCCAATGGAGGGTTCTCTCTATTCCAAATGCAGTCTGCAGTGGAGGATCCCCCCAGTCCATCAAGGTCCCATAGTGTAGTGACTTTTCTTGGCAGAGAAAAGCAGGATGAAGGTCCCTTTGCTCACTGGAGAGATAAAAAAGGCAATCTTTCTCTCATGGGCTCAGTATGCTGCCTCCACATGATAGTGGATGCTTCTTTGCAAAATTGTTTTAAACTTTCAGACCAGAGTAATGTTTTCCACTTGCTCTTGAAGATGAATGCCCTAAAGGGAATCTTCTTCCCATTCAGATGTGGTAAAATTTCAGGCTTCAATTCCCTCTCCCCCATTTTGCTTTCAATCTTTCTTTCTGTCCTCTCTTTTTACCTGTCATCATAATAATGATTAAACTTTTCATCCTCAGAGCACTTAGCAAACATTAGCTTCCCTAGGTGCTTATCATGATAAAGAATAGGAAGGAAGATTTACGATGGAATGAGTTGACTTAAGAAGAAACATTCCCTGGGAGTTCCCCAAGAAATGAAAACATCATATAATACCATGGTGCCTCTGCTAGTGTCTTGCTGTAAAATTAATATACCACACTTGAGGTAATTACGGCATCTGCATGTGATCAGGACCTAGCTGGAAAGTTTCCCCTCCTGAGGATTTTGATTCATAACAGAGAGTTAAATAATTTACATCTCTGAAAACTACTTTTCCCCTCTTTTCGGTAAAGCACTGTGGCAAGTTAAATTATTAGAATTCATCCCTCTAGGTTAATCAAACTGTAGTGTTCTCCAGGAGGTTAGGATTTCATTTCTTTGACTTGTGCGTTCCAAATACCAAGAGATTCATCATTAGATATTATGCACTTTCAAACAAAACCAAACCAAAAACAATGATAATTTAATACTGCCACTCCTAAGAACATGGCTGAAAAAACAACCTCCCACATGCCCTCCCGCTCAATGTTCTCCATAATTTTCATATTTTCACAATGAGGGGCCGATATGTCTTGCTGTCAAGTGTGATTGTTCAACATTAATTCACTGTGGCTAAAACACAGGAATCTGACTGATCCACTGTGTGACCTTCAGCAAGTCACTGAAGCTCTTCACCTTGTGCTATTACCATTTGCCGGTTCTCTCCACCTGTTGTCTCCCAATATATACACAAGCCTCGATCCTACAATTTGTTGTGCTCTTGTGTGGTGAATTGCAGGACTCCAAGCTTAGCTTGTACACTGTTTTGGGGGCAGGAACTGTCTTTTCATTACATTCATGTACGGTTTCTAGCACACAGGAGCGGTGCCAGGGTTTTTGCTGCCCTAGATGGCAGCGCTCCTCCTCTGAGCATTCGGCGGTGGGGTCCTTCCGCTCCGCGTCTTCGGGGCACTTCGGCAGCGGGTCCCGGAGCGAGTGAAGGATCCGCTGCCGAATTTCCGCCAAAGACCCAGAGCGGAAGGACCCCCCGCCACCGAATTTCCGCTGAGGATGGCAAAATGCCGCCTCCCAAATCCTGCCACCCTAGGAGACCCCCTAGGGTCGCCTAGTGGAAGTGCTGGCACTGCTAGCACAATGGAGCTCTGAGGATCCCTGATTGAGGCCTCTAGGTTCTATCTCAATACATATAATAACAATAATAATAAATAAAATAAATAAATAAAATAAACAAACCTCTCTCTATCCTAGGATATGTCTACATTGCAACTAAACACCTGTGTCTAGCCTGACTGCTTCCAGGGCACAGGCTCAGGGGTTGTAAAATTGTGGCGTAACTGTTCAAGCTTGGGCTACAGTCTAGGGTAGACGTACCCCTAGTGTCTTGATATATAAAATGGGAGGAGGGTTGTGAGGATTATTCCATCACTTTTGGTAAAGTGCTCTGAGATCCTCTGGATTGAATGTACAGGAGAATTACTGAAAACTGATATATCCTATGCAATCCCTTCCTCTACAGCATTAGTCAACATTAAAGTTGAGAAATACATTAATTTTGTGAATTTTTGCTCTTTCTTTTAGCACGTTGTCCACAAGCAGACTGCAGCTCTTTCACTGTATTCATCTTTACATCTTTTATTGTGTTCATTATTTGGAATTTTGTAGTTTGGTACAAGTATTCATAATTTGTGATGTTTCAAAGATCACATGGTAGGTTTCTATTCCTTGATTGGATGAGTGCAAATGAAGAAACACAGATAACCATGAGTTCATTTTCTGCCAGTATTTTTCAATATTTGGTAAAAATGTGCTGTTTCTATAAATGTTCTTGCCAGTAAATTTGTTCACTGGAATATTTTTTGGAAAGAAAACGCAAAAGGCGCTTAAAACACAGCTGAAAGTGAAAAAAATGTCAAATGTATTTTTGTGGGAAATGTTTTGCAGTATTCACCCAACCCTACTCAAAAGTCAGGAAATGTAGAGTCAAAGTTGAAAGCTCAACCTTAACTCTGCCTCCTGACAAAGGGCTATGTTTGTCCCAAGTGTTAAGGACACCGCAGAGTAGACATACCCTGAATATAAACCCAGGGCTAGGGGAACTCAAGTCAGTGTACCCTGGGTTTGAGCACCCAGAGCTTTACACTGATTGACAACCCTAGGTTAAGAATTTTTTAACCCAGGCCTGAACCCAGGGCTCCCGTGTCCAAACTGCAGTGTGCAGAACCAAGTTCAACCAACCATATCTCAGATTTCCTAGTGCTCTCCCAAAATGTGGCCAGCTAGCCATTTGTTCATGATGCAGTGTTGGAAAACTTGACTGTCCACACCACATGTAACAGGAAGTTTGAATAGCTTGCTAATACATCCTGCCAAACTGTCATTTTTTTCTGTGCGGTTCCAACTGTCAAAGCCAGCAAAATGGAGGAATCACCATTTTAAGAACTTTTCTTGCATGGGCTTTAGATCCTATTTCAGGACCCAGGCAGAGCTTCCATGAGACATTGGCAGCATTTTCTGACCCACCAAAGACACCTGACAGAGCTAATGATGTAGCAGAAGGATGGGGACACAGACATGGCAGACTCAAACTGGCTGATGCTGCTCATAACCCTCGGGTTAGACGCTGATGGTCTCTACGTAGATCAGTGTTGTGGTGAGAGCAATAAGATTTCTTTATAAAATAAAAGCATTTATTTTTACACGTTTATTGGGAAAGTACAATATTAAACCATTGCCTGTTGGGCCAGCTGCCATTAACACACCAAAACACAAGCAACACCAGAAGGTTTAAAAGTAATCAAGAACAAAGTACATAAACAAGTGAAAACAATGAAACTATGTGCAAGATCACCCCCTCCAAACACACCACTAGTGTGTGTCTGCTGGTCCCCCATTCGCCATGCACCTGATGCCAGAGTAGAGAGGTGGAGATGTCCATGAGGGAGGGGTTCAGCACTGGGGACTGCATGGGGCACAGTAACTCATAGGACCTGATTCCATGGGCCATCCAGCCATAGAGTTGTTCAAGCTGGTCCTGGAACAAAGGACAGGGTACCACGGAAGGGCTGCTGCCCATGATGCGGGCGTAGCAGGAGCCTGTGGGGCGCAGCGGGAGCCTGCTCTTCGGGCCATCAGAAACAGCAGCCGCTCAAACAGTTTTCTCTGTTGTGCTCTATCTTTCTTCCCTTTACCAAAGTTCCTGTTCCAGGAACTGTGAAGTGAGTGCCTGCTCTTGCATCGCTACCTTGTCCTCAAGCTGTGAAGCAAGACTGAACCTCTCGGCATGGCTTTCCTCTTGCCGTAAGTTCCTTTGCCTTTGGTACTCAACCTGCTTTTTGGTCCTCTCCAGAACTTCAACCATAAGTTCATAACAGAAACGCTTCCCCTTGGAATGGTGCACAAAGGTACGATAATCTAGGTTTCTGCAGCGTGGGCAGATTCTGGAGGTACTGCAGCCTAAAGAGGTTGAGGGGCCTGGAATAGGACAAGACACAGAAGGTTATTGTCTTGAACAGCTCAGTGCAGGAGCACAGAAAAAATCATTTTGGAATTTCAAGGACAGAAAATGTTACTTTTTGAAACTGAGCTTCAATATATTGGCAAGAGGACTGCTTCAGATCACAGAAACTCATTGGGCACAGCCGGTTTAATCACAATGAAAGATGTGCAGAGAAATTGAAAAGGTCAAAATCTCAACATTTTTTTTAATGGAGTTTCTGGGGAGGTTGGTGGCCATGCCGTGATGCATAAGCCTTCTCAATCATTTCAGGTACTGCACATATTGGAGGACATAACAGTTCTTGTGGCACAGGAAATGATGTAAGTCACTCCCTTCTCTACTCCTACCTCCACGAAGGTCTTTAGGGTCTGCAGCCAAAACTTATACCGAAGAAGGTATTTTCTGCCTCAAGATGTGGAATCCAGGACAAAAGCACTTGTGAGCACTGCTTAATGGCAGAATGCCAAAGTTACAATAAAATGCACCGTGTATGAAGAAATAGCCATTGTCTGATAAGTGGGAGTCACTTTAGGATTCATGCAGAGCCACATAGCACATTATAAATGATTCTCTTAATTCGACCTTGTTCTGAAGTGTTGTGTGAACTAACACAGAAAAAAAGTTAGTTATTTAACTCTTAAGACAGAATGTGCATTCTTCCTTCCTAGTTATTGTGCCATGCGATGTACAGGTTATGACCCAACAACACTAGCCCTGAAACAGAGAAGGGTCTTATGGAGATCAGCATCTTTGCTTGTGTTTATTGTATTACATTGATCCAGAATGCCTCTCATTTATCTGTCTACATTTTCTAAAATATTCATAAGTAAAAAGCTTTAAAAGCATGTGAAGGGCACGTGAATGGTATCTACACGAGAGGCACAAAACCACAGATAAATGTGTAAAATGTGTAACATCTTTAAATGAATGAAATTAAATGGCCACATGATGGCAGCAGAATAAAAGAAATGAGGAAGGGTCTGCTACACCCTATATTGACTGACTCTGAGGACTTTTTGTTTTCCATGCACCCATATTTAAAGATACAGTCCTTGATTTAAATAGTTTGAAACAGAAGCAGCAGCAAAGATGTAAACATGAATACACTAGGAAAATACATATAGACAGGTAAAAAACATATACTATTGTGGGGGTTGCAGGACAGAAATGGCACCTCCTTGATTCCTTTGTACACTGCTGGGTGTCATGTATTTGCCAATGAACTAGAGTAATGTGCTAAACATAGTCCAAATGTATGATGCAAGAAAAATGTAAACCATATTTCTACTGACATTCTAACCCCTTTCTGATTCATCATAGCATATACAGAATGGGCCAAATTCTGCCCTCAGTTACACCCATGCAATTACGCTGGCTTTGCTGTGAGCAGATTTTAGTCCAATGGGTCCCTGACACATGTAACAGGCTAACAGGAGCATTTCCTGTACAAGTACAGGGAAAGCACTCGAAGAAATCTCAAAAATGTTTTCAATTGCATAAAAATATTTATAGGGAGCCTCACTCATAATTCTGATCTCTTCCAGATCTAGGCCTACAAGAGGGCAGATACCTCATCTCTTGCCGTATCTTCTCTCATATTCTTCCTCTTCATCCCAGCACGAATCTTTATCCCTCTTCTTCTTGAACTCTGTTGCCCCTATGCTGTTCTCCTTATTCAAGACCCTGCTTCATCTGTCCTTGTTACACCTGTTACCTTGGCCTCTGCTACAGGACGTGCTGTGGCTCCAGTCTGTCAGTTATCCATGTCTTACTAGCAGTTGCCCCTGACAATGCATACACAAGTCAAGAGAAGAAAGGGGTCCATCTTATGTAGTGTTGCCAACTCTCTTTATAGCGAGTCTCACAATATTTGTTTTTTTCTTAAAGCCCCACCTCCTCTAGTCATGTATTATGTGAGAATCTCATTTTTTTTTTAAATTAAGTTTCTATCACTCATGGCTGTGAAGAAAAACTTGAAAATATGACCCCTAAAGATTTAAAAGCCAGAAGTCAAAGGAAAAGATGTATTATTTTTAACATTTCTTGATTTTGGGGCCTGATTCATAGTTATGGAATACCTGTAAAACTGCAAGTGTCATTAATGGCAGCAGAAAAAGCATAGAGAAGGCTCCAAGCTGCGCTCTGCATGCTTCCTTTGTAGAGATTTCAAGGCAAGGAAAAGGTGTGGAGGATTATTCACCCACAACTGTTTACCTTCTGACACTGTATTTAGCACACCTTCTGCTGCACAGGAAAATATCTCGTCCACATGCCCATGCTGGCCAAGGGTCTGTGAAAGGCTGAGTTACACCTGTGAATGTGGTGACAGATTGCTTTGTTTAGATGCTCCTGCCACTGCAGGATGTGAGGTGCAAAGTGGGAAACTTTTCTCAGAAACACAAGGTGTTGAAATTAAATGTAGCACCCCTCAGTCCATGGGGACCAGTACTATGCCTTTTCTGACTGCAGATACTGACACAAAGACATGGCTCTTTCAGATACTCTCTATTCGGCATGGAAATGTACTTTAAAGACCCCAGAAGGGTGACATTGCAATATACCACCAGATCTACCAAATAATCTAAAGTATAGTACATTTTTCGGATGCCAAATTATTTATCAATGGTACTATAGCTCTGGTGATTTTTGGTGCCTTAACAGAAAAGGAGTTTGGCGGATGTGCTATAAGAGTCATTAGTTTTTCACTGAGTGGGCAGCTAAAGAATAGGAGAACAATGCACAATTATGTGGTCATGTGTTGTGTGCAAAAATTTGTGCTATGTGCTTATAGTTATAGAAACAAACTTCATCTGATCTGTTCAGACTCTGCAGACAGTAATGGATGGCTAAAAATGCAAGAGTTTTGTCATGCTCCTGTGGTACTTGTGCGTCAGATCTTAAGCTGGTATAAACTGGGATAATTCCACTGAAGCCAAGATCTCACCTGGTAAAAATATCAGGGAAGAGATGTGCCAATATGTTAAAATTTACAATTTTGGTACATTGTCTTATTGACAAAGAGTTGTCTAGAATGAATGCATGTGCAGCCTACAGCACCTAGAACTGGTGGAAAATTAGCTAAGCAATAGAAATCTATTTATTTTCTGTCCGTTTTATTAATTTCTGGGAAAGCTAACATATTAGTTTTCTAATAAAACAGTATAATATATGTATTATATTTGTAGAATTATGCTAAGATGCTACAGTGGATACTCCCTTGCTAATGGGAGCACTAGAACTGCCTAGATATCTCAGATCCAATTAGTATTATTAAATCATACTAGTTAAAGTACTGGTGTAACTATACTGCGGCTACACTACCATTTGTTTCAGAGTGGTAGCTGTGTTAGTCTGTATCAGCAAAAAGAATGAGGAGTCCTTGTGGCACCTTAGAGTCTAATGAATTTATTTGAGCATAAGCTTTCGTGAGCTAAAACCCACTTCATCGGATGCATGCAGTGGAAAATACGGTAGGAAGATATATATACACAGAGGACATGAAAAATGGGTGTTGCCATTCTAACTATAACGAGGGTAATTAGTTAAGGTGGACTATTATCAGTAGGAGAAAAAAAAAGTTTGTAGTAATCAGGATGGCCCATTTCCAACAGTTGACAAGAAGGTGTGAGTAACAGTAGGGGGAAAAATTAGCATGGGGAAATGGGTCATTACACAAAGGGTCATTACACAAAGTAAAACCTATCTACTCCCAGTCTTTATTCAAGCCTAATTTAATGGTGTCCAGTTTGCAAATTAATTCTAATTCTGCAGTTTCTCGTTTTCAGAGTCTGTTTTTGACGTTTTTTTGTTGGAGTATTGCGACTTTGAGGTCTGTAATCGAGTGACCAGGGAGGTTGAAGTGTTCTCCCACTGGTTTTTGAATGTTATAATTCTTGACGTCTGATTTGTGTCCATTTATTCTTTTGCGTAGCGACTGTCTGGTTTGGTCAATGTACATGGCAGAGGGGCATTGCTGGCACATATCACATTGGTAGATGTGCAGGAGAATGAGCCTCTGATAGTGTGGCTGATGTGATTAGGTCCTATGATGGTGTCCCCTGAATAGATATGTGGACAGAGTTGGCAACGGGCTTTGTTGCAAGGATAGGTTCCTGGGTTAGTGTTTTTGTTGTGTGGTGTGTGATTGCTGGTGAGTATTTGCTTCAGGCTGGGGGGCTGTCTGTAAGCGAGGACTGACCTTTCTCCCAAGGTCTGTGAGAGCGAGGGATCCTCCTTCAGGACAGGTTGTAGATCCTTGATGATGCGCTGGAGAGGTTTTAGTTGGGGGCTGAAGGTGACGGCTAGTGGCGTTCTGTTACTTTCTTTGTTGGGCCTGTATTACTCCAGTTTTAAACTGATGTAATTGATTAAAATCAATGTAGTTACACTAGTGACAAGGAAGTAAATCAAGGCCATATTTTCACCTATGTTTATTTTTGTGTTTTTCCTGACTTCTTTACCATTACTAAACTTGCGTAAGGCTTTACTACATATCAGTTATGCAAACTTAATTTAAAATGAAGTTACTGTTTTCCCCTATTAAAAAACCTAAAAATAGCAGAAATGACATCAGAACAGTTAAACTGTGACTGCCAGTATATTTGACCCATAAAGATTTAACTTAAATTAATAAATCCATTAAATCTTAAGGTTCACTCCTCTGGAGGCATTAATAATATGATCAGTTCAGATTGGCAGCACATTGGGCAGACGTCATTGACAGAGCTGATTAAAGTTTGTGGAAATTAACACAGAATCAGTTAATCAGATTTCATTTTGCTGCTGATAGACAGTTTTAGTCTTAAAGCACAAAAACAATATACTCTGTTCCTGGTAATCCTAATATTTATTGAAAACCTTGAAAGGAATATTTTTTCTGATGGCTCAGTTCTCATTCTAATTAATTTGTATAGATCTCTTTAAAAGCGCTAGATAATTTTTTTTTCTATTAAATGAAGGTCTGCCAAAAGAATTGGTCATTTAGGCACTAATCCTGCAATTTACAGCGCACAGATACAGCCCTGAACCTGCACTGAGCCCCATTCTTCCATTTCAATGAGCTTTGATGAGACCTTTATTGAGCATACCAAAGAAAAGTGACTTTGAGGCTAAATGACAATGTATATTGTTGTCTTCCATACGAGATAGATTTATTTGTTTTATGCCTAAATGGCTATGTACTGGAGGTGTAATTCTGTGTCTGATTTATGTGCACCAACAAAGAGGTTTCTCAAAACATTTTGAATAGTTAGTAATATATGTTTATCTATATACCTGTATAGTATATGCCTGTATGGCTCCCAGCACCACAATATCTGATCCTAACTGGAATCACACATGGGGGCAAAGCTACCTGGCCTCAGTCACGTGAGTAGTCCCAGTGAAAAATAGTTGGATAAGGGGAGTTGTCTTTTGATCACTATAATATACTGTATTAATATACAGACGTTGAAGGATATACCTTATGGAAATATTTAATTATTAAACTCAAAATATGCAGTTTCCTGTGGTCAAGAAAACACACTTTCAAATTTTGGCACCCCATATATCATGATTTGTATCTGAACCTGCCACTGATGGGGTTGCAAATGGATAACTGAGGACAGAATATGGCTTCTATGTTAGATGGTATTCAGGCTCTGACCCAAATAGGTGATCACAACATCAAGAAATTCGGATTTTTTTTCTTTTTCTGTAAGTGAATTTAGTGCTCAAGATAAGTGCCACACTAACACAAATAGATCTGCTATAGCGGGGAGAGAAAAAAATATGATTCAATCTGGATTGAGTTAGTCTGAGCACATCCGTGACACAGGGTAAACTCAGATTAATTACTAAACCCTTGACCTCTTGTGATGTATTTCAGTTTGTTTAAGGCCATAATTTGATGTTCCTTACCTGACCCTTCTTTGTAGAAAATGTTTCCCTCCTTTCTGGTTTTTTAGTTGTTCATTTCCAGTATTGTACCTGAGCATGAGATTCACAAGCCAATATATTTCATTCTGTGAATCAGCCAAAAAGGTGTGTAGTGAAATGAACTTGACCTAGAGCAGTGGTGCCCCTAAAGTGGCCAAATGCAGTCAATGCTATCCTAAAATATGGAGCATGGTTCAGATTTAACACAAAGGTGCAGCCCTGGGAACAGTCACTCTGGTCAGAGACCAGGCGGCTCAGATCAAAATAGAGCATTGCATCCAAATAGCAGACTCCACAGATTCTGTACTGAAGATGAAGGTATTTGCAATCACCTTTTTATTCAAATTAAGCGCTGCACTCGACCTCATAGAAAGCTACTCATGGGGCTGATGAATTGGGAAATATCTGGGCTTGGCTGATTTGGAAAGAGTGTGTACCATGTGGATAACCCTTGGACAAACACTTCACAAGGAGCAAGTTGATCTCCCAAGATTTTCTTTGTGATCTGGGACATCAACGCACTATGACCAGTTTAGAGGAGCAAATGTCAGAAGGAGGGAATTAAAAACAGTCAGTGATTGGATAACTTGTGAATTTTTGCATTAAAAATTAGGGATTAATATCCACCAAATCAAATGCCTCCAATTTCTGGAAGTATAATGGCCAGGAATGGTGCCCAGCTTCTCCCCCTTTTCTGAAAAGGAATGCCCTTAACTTCATGTCCCTCATTTCAGCTTTGGTCTCTGGTGTATGCTGACGGGGCTTAAAAGCACTACCAGCCTTACAATCTTTGACAGTGAACTTCGTTTAATTTCTGCCACCCAATGTAAATGTATTTTTAAAGACTATTCCCTCACAGAGCTGATTCTTCAAACAAAGAAACATTGTCACACTTGTGTTTCTTTTAAAGGCATCAGACATGAGAGTCCAAAAAGTACTCACCAGACATGCTACCAAGAGGTAATACCTTCCAGAGGTCTGGCAGAGCTCCATAGTCAATAGTGTCAGGGATGCCCTAACACCTCTAAAGGTATATCTACACAGCAGCTGGGAGGGCGCTTCCTAGCACAGGTAGAGACGTTCCAGCTGTGCTCGAGTTAGCGTGCTAAAAATAGCAGTGTGGCTTCAGTGGCAGCTTGGGACAACCACCAGTAGAAGCCTGCCTGGCCCCCTTGGTATGTACTTGGGTTGCTGTCTGTGCTGCTGTGTGGCCACAGTGCTATTTTTAGCAT